AACTGCTGTATGAAAAGACTGGACATAAGAAATAAATTAAGGGTTTCTTTGTAGCATGTTACTAAACCTAAAATGCAATCACTATATCTGACATGAAAGTGAGGTTAAAAAAAAAAACAGTAAACTTACTGAACATTTGTTCTTTGACACAGCCAATGAACAGGTTAGCAAATGAAGGTCTAATTTCCCATGGCTACTGGCCTTTAAATTCATAAATATTGGGTTTTAGCACCAACTCTGAAAGTTTTTAGTAATATGTTGGTGGCAGGTACAGGGATAGGTCTGATTTCAAGAAAATATTTGAGAATTAGCAAACCAACTATCATTATGTATTTAAGAGTTTTAACGTATCATGACTTTGACTGGTAGTTATTGACTAGAGGTTGTAGGATGTATCAAGTTAACTCGATATTCTTTCAGTGAGACCGTTACAGATTAAAATCAAGGGATTGTCAGGACAATTAAGTTTTTGTATTTTATGATTCTTCAGGAGGAGATTCATAGCAGATGAAGGAAGTTCATTATTTTATATCAGATCTTGTAAGACATCTTTATTCCATTATTGATAGAGATGCATAAAATCTTGTAGAGATTTGTTGAAGCTATTGTCAGTTAGTGGTCTGTTAACTTCTGTGTACAAATCTCTACACCATATAATGATGGCTCCTCTTTTGTCAGTGGGCTTGACCACAATGTCAGTGCACGTTCTATAGGATTTTAAAGCATCACATTCTTGTTTTGAATGTTAGGCTTTATATTTATGTTTTTGAAATTCTCTTATCAAACTTGACAAAGAACAGTTGCTCAAAATATTGCTGTTAAATAACAATTTTTCTTTCCTGGACATGTTTTTAAAAAATACTTCTTCTATGTTATACATAATTAAACCCCAACTCTTAAACAAAAACATATATTAACATTTTGAAGATTATAGCTGAGTATCTTTTTATTAACTTTATTACACACTATCTGATGTCTTTCCCTTGAAGCATATATATCATGATGTGTCATTGACTATGATTTTTGTGAACTTTGCCAGATGACAGCAACTGCATCAAGTGTGATGAAGTTCTTGAAGAACTTGAGACAATTGATGATGAAACCGATGAACTAGACATCATGTTTGTTAAGATTAAAGACCCACGTTATGCCCGAAAATATGGGATTACTAATTTGCCAGCTCTCGTTTACTTCCGTCGCAAGTTCCCTTCAATTTTTCGAGGTAGATTTTTTCATTTATTCTACTTGTAAGTTTTCTGTGTGGCATTTATAACAAAAACAAATCATTTCATAATCTCTCTACTCAATTCATATTGTTATGCCTTTTTTTTTCACCTTCCTTCTGTTTTTTTTTCACAGTAATTTTACAATTTATAACACAAAATCTGATTATTTCTTAAACAGTCTGTGCTGCTTTCTATGTTCATATTTTCTATTATGATCTTTGTTTATCTTACTTCCTGTGTTAACGTTTAAGCTACATTTACAACACTGCAGCTGGTCATATTATGATCTTTTTTGTACCTTGCATCCTGTGATTATTTTTACATTAAATTTCAGAGGTGAGGATTTCCAAGAGATTGGTAGTTTCCTGGTTTTCAAGACACACTACTGGCTGTGCACTAATGTGGCAAAATGTGTAATAGTTGAGTTGGAGGCTGAAAATGAGATTCTTTCAAATAAGTCCTTTCTTATAAGTCCTGGAATTAAGCACTGAAATCTTAAAGTGTGCTTGGCTAGTCTCAAATAATCTTTCTAAACCAGGCACAGTTTTGCTTGACAGATTGGTGTCACATTAAAATTTAGCACAACCTTTGTTATCGCGTTCATTTCAAGATGAAAATGTTACTGAAAGTCAGTGATGAAAATGCACATGTTATATGGAATTATTGAAACTTTATTTTAAATTAATAGTTTCTTACCTGGAAATGCATCAAATTGAAAGATTAATGTCCTTAAAGAATTAAATGTCCTGTAGTGGAAAATTAGTGTACAAATGTAGGGTTTACTCAATACAATATCAGGAATGCTAATATTTATATTAATTCTGATGAGTATCTAAATATTAAGTTAAAATGCACAAAATTTCATATAAAAATAACGTGATCATGGACTCATCTGTGCTTGGTGTTAACCTCCAGATTTTTTCAGCCTGCTCTATTCTCATCCCTGTACATTTGCAACACAGCAGTTGATCCTTTTATGATCTCTATGTATCCTGCATCCTGTGTTTAATTTTAAGCTACCTTTACAATACTACAGCTGGTTCTGTTGTGATCATTGTGTACCCTGTATCTTGTGATTATTTTAAAGCTACCTTTACAATACTATAGTTGGTTCTGTTGCGATCATTGTGTATCCTGCATCTTGTGATTATTTTTAAGCTACCTATACAATACTACAGTTGGATTTGTTGAGATCATTGTGTACCCTGCATCTTGTGATTACATCACATCAATACAGTTGGTTTTGTTGCAATCATGACATACTTTACATCCTGTGATTATTTAAGAAACAACAATTGATGCTTTCTTTAACATTTTGTTCTTTATTAGTTTTTCTAAGTTAAATTTGCAATGCAAAATCAGCTTCTGACCTACTTACTGTGCAATACATGTTTATTTCAATGTTATTTTGTGTGTGTGAATACATCTTATGTCTCTTTCTGTCTTCTCAGGTGATCTCATGGATGAAAATCAAGTTCTAGACTGGCTTCAGAAAAACCGCTATCGACATCCTGAATTAAATCTCTTCATGTATGCTCTTGGAGCAATCACAACTGCTTTTATACTCTACACTTTGTTCCTCATGTTTTGCTTTCGTGGAAATAAGGATAAGCGAGACTGAAATTTCAAATTAAAGATCTGTATGTGTTCCTAAAACAAACACAATTTGTGTGTGCGTGTGTGTGCTGCTGAGATATGGCCTGGCCAGTTTACATCTTGTGCCTTCTCATCCATGAGAAGGAAACTTATTTTCCATGGAATGTACACTTATTAGGAAATTTATAAAAATTCCAGGATGTTACTTGATTTAGGTACTTGCGTTTTAGCCTTTTAAAACATAGCAATAAAGTATGTTCTTTCATCATCTCAAATCATTTTATTTTTACTGAATTCATAATAACTAGTTTTTATTGAAAACATTGCACTTGATTTGTAGCATGTAAGCTGAAAAGTGTTTTAAAATTACTCACTTAAATTATTTATGATAAAGCATTTATTTATTCCTTAGATTCAAACAGAAGTTTAAGTGTTTTACAAGAACAAGTTTATTAGGTGTTAGTGTACAATTTTAAAAGAAAAAATATATTAAAAAGCTCCAGTCATCTATACAACTAGTATTTGTACAGATGTAATAATATTCATAATCTGAATGTAGGATTGACTTTATTTGTAGCATATTGACATGTTTTTTCCTGTAGCATAGTGGCAGAAGGTGTTATTGTTGAACCATGTTTATTGAGTAAGGAGAAGAAAAGCTCACATCCACAATTTATTTATTTGAAAAAAATGTGAATTTCAGATTATGAGAAAATTCAAATAAATTATTTTTCTTCCACAACCATTTATACAAACAAGATTGGTGTATAAGAAATTGTTTTAATCATAAAGATGTGTTGTGGGGATATTTAACATGTTTTTGTAAACTATTAAGCAACTATTAGCAGTGAAAAGGTGTTTGCCTGGGGGAATTAGGGAACCTAAAAAGTTGTCCATCAAATTTGATTTTGGGAGCCAAAAAACTATCTTTAGGAACAACAAATGATAATGAGTTGAGAGTTTTGAGAGCCAAAACATTTGCCCAGGGGAATAGTAAAACATTCTGGTGATTGCAGTTTTTTGGACCCAAAACACAGCATTTAAGGTTAACATATATTGCTGATGTTTAAAGGTATTACCATATAATTAGTGAAATTGTTTTGACATTGCAGTTGTCTATGTGCACATTTAATTGTCAATACAGCCTGACAAGAGTTATTAAATGGAAGTAATTCAAAGAATTTTTTTTGTAAATCATGGAAAAAGAAAACACTCAGCTCACACACACACTTGAAGATCCAATTACACAAGCAGTAAAACTCCTATCTCTAGTCAGGCTTTTTAGTTTATCACAGTAGTTTTGTTGTGTATGTGTATATCTCAGTTGTTACAAAAGCTTATTCTGTGCATTTTTTTTGTCTAGAATCAGACTTTTGTTTCTCTTGAAAAAAAACAGTTAAAATTCCAGACCTTGAGACTATGATAAATACATATCATGTCATCAATGACACCATAAACAAAAAAAGGATACTAAGGTCCACATGTACTTTCATCTCACTGCCTTGTTTTAAAATGTAATGTATTGTGGGAGTGTTGTAGCTGTAGGACATGCAGGATTACAATTCAGTGGTCAACTGATGAGTGTAGTTTGAACTCTCCAAAACATTTCAGAAGAGCTTTACTAATTTGGTTTGTGAAGGTACCAAACTTTGTGTGATTGTTTTATTTTTGTGAGTCCCTGCTTATCAGACTCACTCTCTTTATACTACTACTTTTCATCTGTACGCCTCCTGCTTAAAGCCAATAAAATGATTCTACATAAAAACTTTACTCATGTGTTTTATTTTAAAAAACTGCTTAGGACTTTAAACCAAAAATTTTATTACATATTTTAACAAATATTTGAGCCAAAACTTTATTTTGAAGTTGTTCGCACCTTCACTAAAGAAGTACTACAAATTCCTTTCTAACAAAATTAAACCCCTAAGGAAACCATATACTATAGTCAAAAATACCCATTAATATTGGTCATTCTTTTTTAGGTAAACAATGTTTTATACTAAAGTCACAAATTATAAGAGAAATTAAAACTACAAATGATATTTAAATCACCCTCCAGAATTCAAAATATGTTCAGATCCAAAGACCTATTGTCTACACTTATGTATTCCAAGATCATATATTAATATACTTGTTTTGAATTAATGTCAAATAAATTGACAAAACAATATGCCATTTACACTTGCAAACACATAGGAGTATCAAATAGAACTGGAAAACAACTGAAATCCTCCAGAATCTGCAACTTGCGCAGATAGTAGAGGTAGCAATCACCCCCATTTTGAAGTTTTCTCATTTGGATCATCAAATAATGAACTTTTTAAATTAAAAATAGTTTAAGTATTATTACTGAACTTCCAAATCTAAATAATAACACAACTTTATTACAGATAAATTTCTTCTGAATAACTTATATAATTCCACTAAAATTTGCTATGTACTTTAATTCCTCTTTATAAAATGTTGAAACTATACAATCTATAAATCTTTGTATCTTAGGTTTTACCTTGTTTAATATCTCTTGCTGAAAATGGAATGTATCACAAAACATTATAGTATTAAATGCTGTCCTACTTTTATTCATCATTATTTTTTTTATTCCATCTGATGAATCTGTTGTTTAAACTGTTATGTAAAGTTTCAACCATAGATTATCTTCAAAACTGATTATATATTTTCACAGAAAACCTCAATTAAAAGTTTCAGTCTCAGATTATCTTCAATGCTTTTACATTTTCACTTGTGGAACACTGCTGTCCAAATTTTTTGTTAGGGAATACCTTTAAAACTATTTAAATCTCCAGTTGCGGAAACTGCTTCTCATATTTCAACAAGAGATTATCATAAAGATTGTTTTCGTCTTCACATGATTACTTATGTTTTAAAATTCACCAATAGATAAACGTGGAGGTTGTTTACATCACATGTGAAACATTTTGTTTAGATTTCAGCAAGAAATTATCTTCAAAATTCTTTATCTCTTCATATGTGGAACACTTATCAAAAGTTTAAGTCCGTGACTGCCTTCAAGGTTGTTTACATCTTTATATATGGACCATCATTTTTATCTAAGGTTTCAGCCAGTGAATTGTTGACGCTGCTCACAGCTTTACACATGTGGAACACTGCTATCTAAATTATCAGCCAGTGAGCCTTCAAGGTTGTTTACAACATCATCATAAATCATTGCATCACTTTCATAAATCACATAGATAACAGTTGTAACTTTTCTATATCAAATTCTTCCAAACAATATATTTGTTTTACTGCAGTTTCATCTGGTCCTACAGCTTTATTGGATTTTATTCTGTTGATAACTGTTTGTACTTCTCACTTAAAATTTTACAATCCATCCATGTTCTTCTTAATAGATGGATTTTCTTCACTACTGTCGTGGAATAAATCTTCAATATACTCTGTTCATCTTTTCAATACTTGTTCTCATTTCATAATTACATCATCCATTCTTAGCTTTTATACACCCACTATCAGTACATCTTCCTTTATCTGTGATAAATATTCAATAT